AAGAGTCCTTTTTTAGGTGCCAGGGATTGAACCCAGGGGTGCTTCACCATGGAACCCCCATCCCCAGCCCTTTTTATACTTTATTTAGAGACAAAGTCTCGCTGAGTTGCCGAGGCTGGCCTCCAACTTGCGATCCTCCTGCCTCGGCCTCCCGAGCTGCTGGGATGACAGGTGTGGGCCACCGTGCCCGGCTCTTGTAAGAGTCCTTAGAATCCAGGAGACTCTGATCTTGATACTCTAGCCAATGGAGCTCCGGAGAGGACACCCTGCTGCCCAAGGTCACCCAGCATCTTGGTACGGAGGAGTGTTCTGGGAAGTGGGCACAGAGACCCCTGTTCCTGACACTAGTGCTGAGCATTCTCGCCGTGCCTGACTCCAAGCTGAAGTAGGTATTTGGGGAATGGCCGCTCCTGGCTCCTTACCCCACTGAGACTGTGATCAGGGCCCTTGAGTGGGGCTCAGGATGTCCGATGTCACAGTCCACAGACGGCGGCCCCACTCCTGGGCCGAGGGGAGGCAGGACATCATGGAGGAAGAGTGTGGGGAGGGAGCAGCTCCCATGGGGACCAGGGAGCAGAGACTCCACTCTCCAGGGACAAATAGGGACCCCAAGCCATGGCCCCAGGGCCACCTCCTCCCCCACACTCCACCTGCCTCTAGGGGCCACCAGGGGACCCCCAGGGAGCCATTCCCTGCCAGGGTTCAGGACTCACACCCCCTCACTCCTCCTCTGGACCTTCCTGCATCCTCCCCACGGGGGCTCGGGGACACCCCACAGCCACACCAGGACAGGAGCCATGACTCCCACACCCCCATTTCTCCCCAAAGCCTGGCGCTCCCTGTCCTGACCCAGGAAGGTTCCTGCTCCCCTCTCCCAGCCACCTCGGTTGACAGGGTTCTTGGAAGGAGATGTCCCCTCACCCCCTTGAACTTGGACCCCCCTCCCCCTCCCACACCCTGTCCCATTCCCCACCCAAATTAGCAACTCTGTCCCCACCCATGAGGGACTCATGCCCCTGGGGATGCAGAAGTCAACGTTCAGGGGGTCCCACAGGCTGTGCCCTGAGGGACATCGGTGACAGAGACATTTTCCTGCATCCGCAGGACTCAGTGACCCTCTGCTGTCCTTCCACCTTCCCAACCCTTCTGAGCCCCTCCTCTAAGGGACCTAGAGGACATTTCAGGTCCCTGGGCACTGGGTGCCTCTGCTCCCAAGTCCTGGCAAACAGCCAGAAGTCCGTCTCTGGCGCTGAAGGGACCTGGATGTGGCTCTGCCCAGGGCCTGGCCTTGTCCTCCCAGAGTCCCCTGCTCCCTGGGGAAGTGGCTGCTGTCTTTTTTCCCCCACGAGCAACAGTCAGATAAATTTTGCTTTCAAAATGTCAGGACAGGTTGGAGGGGCTGCTGGCCGAGGGTGGGACATGTGTGACAATCTCCTTCCTGAGGGCCACCGCCCCTCCGCCCCTCCGTGTCCCCGGGCCTCTTCGCCTGCGGGAGAGTTGGACTCATTAAAAATAATTGCCTGGCCGGAGTCATTAGGACCCCTTGGCAGTGTCCCAGGTCCTGCTTTGGTGACAAGAATCCCCTCCTCTCCCAGAGACTTCTGCAGGGGCTGCTGCAAATCAGGAGCTGGTGGCCCCCCGGGGACCCTGCGCTGGCAGGAGAAACGAGACCTGAGATCAGAGGCTCGTGGATAATGAGGGGCACAGCCACACGCAGCCCTGAGCGTGCCCTGGGCACAGCCTCTGAGGACATGCAGGCGGGCACCGGGGTGCTAGGGGACTGCAGCAGCTGCTCCCCACTTTGGTTGTCGCTGGGAGTGACAGAAACACCAGCAGATATGCAGCCAGCAGGGGTGCCCAGCTGGGGGGACCTGGTCATCACCTGGCCCCGGTGGGGAGGCTGGTGGACAGAGCCGAGGGGGGTACCCCCAGCCAACCGGAGCACCTCTTCTGGGCCACCCTATTGGACATGTGCAGCCTTGGTTGACCTAGAGGGCGGGACGCGGCCACCAAGGCAGATCTGGGTGAAGCTGAGAAGCCCCAGCCCCCAGGGCTCCCATGGTCAAGCACATGAGGCCAGCAGCACTTGGCTTAGTTATCATTTTCCTGCTGTGACCCAAAGACTTGAGAGGGGGACAGTGGACGTGGGGCTCAGGGTGTCCCAGGTCCCAGTCCACAGACTCCACTCCTGGCCGAGGGGAGGCAGGACATCATGGAGGAAGAGTGTGGGGAGGGAGCAGCTCCCATGGGGACCAGGGAGCAGGGACTCCACTCTCCAGGGACAAATAGAGACCCCAAGCCACGGCCCCAGGGCCACCTCCTCCCCCACACCCCACCTGCCTCCAGGGGCCACCGAGGGACCCCAGGGAGCCATTCAGTGCTGGGGTTCAGGCCTCACACCCCTCACTCCTCCTCTGGACCTTCCTGTGTCACCTCCCACGGGGGCTCTGGGGACACCTCCCAGCCAACCCAGGACAGCGCTAAAACCTGAGTCCTGACCACCCTTTCAGGCTCACTGGACAAGTTCAGGACCCTGGACAGAGTTAGGACCTTGGACAGCATTCAGGACCTTGGACAGCGTTCAGGACCCTGGACAGGATTCAGAACCTTGGACAGGGTTCTGAGCCCCCCACCCTCCAACACACCACCCACCACAGAGAACCAGGAACTCCCCCAATACCTGGGTCACAGGGATCCCCTATGGAGGGTCACCAGAGGGGTGCCCGTTCTCCTTGCCTGCAAACCGTGTGTTTGATGGACAGCATCGTGTGTCCTTCACTCCTATTGGAAGCCTTGACTCACAGTGGGGCTGTATTTGCAAGGGGGTTCCCTAAAGAAATCATGAGAATTAAATGAGATCCACGAAAATAGGAATTTATCATAGGACCCAGTGCACCCTCCTGTCCTGTTTATCTCAAAAAAAAAAAAACATAAAAAAATAAATTGAAAAAAAAATTAAATGAGGTCATGAGGGTGGAATCCGGATCCCACAGGATTCGTGTCCTTGAAAGTAGAGATACCTAGGAGACTCTGCGCACACACAGAGAGGTCGCGGGATCACACACAAGAAGGAGATCATTAGAAGGCAAGGGAAGATCCCCTGCCAGACCCCACCCCTGCCAGCACGTTGATCTTGGACCATGAGCCTCCAGAATGGTGAGAAATACATTTCTGTGGTTGAAACCACTTCTGCATGGGGTGTTTTGTTATAGCAGCTGGAGCAGACTGATACACACTCATGCAGATGCATCTGAAGTTGAGGCTTTCAAGATGCTCAGCTCTGGGTAGAGAACGTGCCAGGCGAATATTGTACTTTAACCATCATCATGTGAAGGTGCCAATCAAGATGTGAGGATGGGCCGGGCGCTGTGGCACACGCCTGTCATCCCAGTGGCTCGGGAGGCTGAGGCAGGAGGGTGGCAAGTGGGAGGCCAGCCTCAGCAACAGCAAGGCCCTCAGCAGCTCAGTGAGACCCTGTCTCTAAATAGAATACAAAATAGGGCTGGGGATGGGGCTCCGTGTTCGAGTGCCCCTGAGTTCAATTCTCTTGGGACAGTGTCAGGACTGGCTTGAGATGTGCCCGGCAGAGTCCCCTGGGAGGTCACCTCTTAGCATCCTGGGGAAGCCCGGGCTCCTCATCTGTGAGATCTGGGCACCATTGCTTGTGGAATCACCTGGGAACAAGGTCTGAGTTCTGTCCCCCAGAAATCCCAATGAAATCTGCAGCTATGTGTGTGCCAATCAAAAAGGGCCTTCAAACACCATTGGCCTACGAGAGTCTTGCCCAGGACCTCGCATCGAACCGTCTCCGCCACTGGCTGAGTACCTCTGAGCTGTGCAGATCCCTGGACGGGCCTCCCTCCTGATTTCAAAAAATCACATTTTGTACTTCCAAAATCTCTAATTAATTCTCTCTCATAACCGGTAATTCTTATTTTTACAGTGATCTCCATTATCTCTCCGGAGGCTAATTTTCCAATATCATAAAATAATTCCTGTTCTGATTGCTCTATTAGATCTGGCTCTTCCAGGGAAGTTGTTCGCATGAATCCAATCTACCGTTCTCTTCCATTGGCCATGGCTGTCCCCACGCGGTGGGCTCTACTTTCTCATGGAATGTTCTAGAACATTCCTACCTAGAGGAGAGTTTCCCTTTTAACCCCCCCCCCCCATCTGGTTGTTCTCTGACTTTTCAGGGAATTAAAAAGTTCTGGGCTTCATGGGTGTGGTGTTCTTCTTTTGGAGGGTGTACTCGTTAGATGATTTTAAAAAGAAATCTTGCTGGGTGGGGTGGCACAGGCCTGTCATCTCAGCTGCTCGGGAGGCTGAGGCAGGAGGATCGCAAGTTTAAGGAACGGTATCCATGGGGGTTTCTGAAACCCACCCCCCTGCAAACACCAAGGAGAGAGTGTTTCTGTGAGCGTGGGCTCCTTTAAAGATACCATCTTCGTTCTATAGGAAAACCAGTGGTTTTGATTTTATTTCTCTTGTGTTTAATCACTTCACTGAAGACCCTCAATTAATTACAAGTAGCTCTTCACTTAATTCTCTGCATAAGGATTAGATGAGGCAGCAAGTAGACAGGCCCGAAAGGAGAGTGCCTTATACAAACCCCCAAAAGGAGCCACCCAAGGCCTGCGTGGCTGGTCACCGTGTCACTTTGTCACTTCTGGCTCAACGTCTACCCTTCCAGGGTGGGGCCCTCACGTTCGCTATCCAAGACGGGCAGCGCCAACCAATCAGCGTGCTCCAGACTGCTGACCAAGGAGAAGAAGAAAACCATTGGCCAGTTTTAAGGGACATCTGTAAGACTTTAAGTCTTTGAGGAAAGCCCTTGGACGCTGCCACTTGGTCACATGGTGGTGAGGCAAGTGGACATGTGGTTTGCTACCAAGTGACCGTGTCCCAGCTAATGTGTGAGATTTGATGACTAGGAAAGGAGGGGAGAAGAAATTTAGGAGAATACTCAGCCAACTCTGCCATGATGTCATTAGCAAGTAATGCAGACTGAGTATCTGTTTTCTCCTCCTCCTCCTCCTGCTCCTCCTCCTTCTCCTCCTCCTCCTCCTGATCCTCCTCCTCCTTCTCCTCCTCCTCCTCCTGATCCTCCTCCTCCTTCTCCTTCTCTCCTGATTCTTTACCTCCTCCATCTCTTCTCTTCCTCCTCCTCCCTCTGCTCCTCCTCCTCCCTCTGCTCCTCCTCCCTCTCCTCCTCCTCCTCCCTCTCCTCCTCCTCCCTCTCCTCCTCCTCCTCCCTCTCCTCCTCCTCCCTCTCCTCCTCCTTCTCCTCCTCCTCCTCCTTCCTCTCCTCCTCCTCCTCATTCCTCTCCTCCTCCTCCTCCCTCTCCTCCTCCTCCTCCTTCCTCTCCTCCTCCTCCTCCTCCCTCTCCTCCTCCTCCTCCTCCTTCCTCTCTTCCTCCTCTTCCCTCTCCTCCTCCTCCTCCCTCTCTTCCTCCTCTTCCCTCTCCTCCTCCTCCCTCTCCTCCTCCTCCTCCTCCCTCTCTTCCTCCTCCTCCTCCCTCTCCTCCTCCTCCTCCTCCCTCTCCTCCTCCTCCTCCTCCTTCCTCTCTTCCTCCTCTTCCCTCTCCTCCTCCTCCTCCCTCTCCTCCTCCCCCTCCCTCTCCTCCTCCTCCCCCTCCCTCTCCTCCTCCTCCTCCTCCTCCTCCTCCCTCTCTTCCTCCTCCTCCTCCCTCTCCTCCTCCTCCTCCTCCCTCTCCTCCTCCTCCTCCTCCCTCTCCTCCTCCTCCTCCTTCCTCTCTTCCTCCTCTTCCCTCTCCTCCTCCTCCTCCCTCTCTTCCTCCTCCTCCTTCCTCTCCTCCTCCTCCTCCCTCTCCTCCTCCTCCTCCTCCTCCCTCTCCTCCTCCTCCTCCTCCTCCCTCTCCTCCTCCTCCTTCCTCTCCTCCTCCTCCTCCTCCTTCCTCTCTTCCTCCTCTTCCCTCTCCTCCTCCTCCTCCCTCTCCTCCTCCTCCTCCTCCCTCTCCTCCTCCTCCTCCTTCCTCTCCTCCTCCTCCTCCCTCTCCTCCTCCTCCTCCTTCCTCTCCTCCTCCTCCTCCCTCTCCTCCTCCTCCTCCCTCTCTTCCTCCTCCTCCTCCCTCTCCTCCTCCTCCTCCTCCCTCTCCTCCTCCTCCTCCTCTTTCCTCTCTTCCTCCTCTTCCCTCTCCTCCTCCTCCTCCCTCTCTTCCTCCTCCTCCTTCCTCTCCTCCTCCTCCTCCCTCTCCTCCTCCTCCTCCTCCTCCCTCTCTTCCTCCTCCTCCCTCTCCTCCTCCTCCTCCCTCTCCTCCTCCCCCTCCCTCTCCTCCTCCTCCTCCTTCCTCTCCTCCTCCTCCTCCTCCCTCTCTTCCTCCTCCTCCCTCTCTTCCTCCTCCTCCCTCTCCTCCTCCTCCTCCTTCCTCTCCTCCTCCTCCTCCTCCCTCTCCTCCTCCTCCTCCTCCCTCTCCTCCTCCTCCTCCTCCCTCTCTTCCTCCTCCTCCCTCTCCTCCTCAGGTGGCACACACCTGTCATCACAGTGGCAAGAGAAAGAGGAAGAGAAGGAGGAGCAAGGACCAGATCCTTGCTAGGAGGATGGCAGAGGAGGCAGGGACCAGGGATTTTTAAAAAAATGGAAGGAGAGAAGGTTATGGATAAAGACCACACCTGTCGTCCCCTCAGCTCAGGAGGCTGAGGCAGGAGGCTCACAAGTTGGAGGCCAGCCTCAGCCACTTAGTGAGTCCCTAAGCAACTCCGTGAGACCCTGTCTCTAAATAAAATACAGAATAGGGCTGGGAATGGGGTATGTGAAAAAAATGCGAACTTCCAGCCTAATTAGAGAAACTTTCTATTTAAAAAAAAAACAATCAGAATGTGAGCTTCCTTTTCATCCGTCTGAGTGGCAGATTAAAGAGGTGAGCAGGTGGGGATCCGAGGCCGAGAGAAAAAAACGGCATTCACCTGCGTGGCTGGGGGTGGGGACTCAGTTGGCAGTAACCTTTGGGGAGAACAATTTCCAAATTGCTCTCAAATGTGAGATGTTGGTTCTCCCCAGCGATTCTGCCTCCGCGTCCATCCAAGATGAATTGTTCACTGGCGGGAGAGGGGAGCAATTTCTGGGGGTATAGAGGCTTTTGAATTGGTCCCTGTGGGGAGGTGTCTCTGTAGCAGAAGTTGGCCTGTGGCACTCTGTGGATGGGTCTGGGGTCCACACTGTCCCCCCAGCCCCTGAACTCCCTGCCTGGCGGGGAACCCAGGCTGGTGAGTCCTGCCTACCAGGGTTGGATTGGAAGGGGAACCCTGGGCAAGCCTTCGGTCACAGAGCAGGGAGAACACTCTGTAGCTAACAAGGGGGCTGAAAATGGGCTGTTCAAACCCCACTGAGAAAAGGGGGGTACACCAGGGACGGGGGCCCACGCCCATCATCCCAGCGGCTCGGGAGGCTGAGGCAGGAGGATCGCAAGTTGGAGGCCAGCCTCGGCAAAAGCAAAGCACTAAGCAACTCAGGGAGACCCTGTCTCTAAATAAAATACAAAATAGGGCTGGGGAGGGGGCTCAGGGGTCGACGGCCCCTGAGTTCCATCCCTGGTACCCCCACCACCAATAAATAAATAAAAGTTAAAAAAATATTAAGTGCAGTGGAAAGTACTGAGCCCGAGGGGTCACCGATTTTTGCATTTCTTAAACATGATCAGGGTACCAAGAGTAATAGGGGAGTCTAGGGTCCAGATTGGAGAAAATTCAGTCAACAGGAAGAGGACTGGTCAGAGCAGGAGAGGGACAGAAGGACCCCTGAGGGCCAGGTGTATGGTGTTGTGGTTTAGATGGGAGGTGTCCCCAGAGCCCCCGTGGGAGGTGACACAGGAAGGTCCAGAGGAGGAGTGAGGGGTGTGAGGCCTGAACCCCGGCAGGGAATGGCTCCCTGGGGTCCCCTGGTGGCCCCTGGAGGCAGGTGGGGTGTAGGGGAGGAGGTGGCCCTGGGGCCGTGGCTTGGGGTCTCTCTTTGTCCCTGGAGAGTGGAGTCTTTGCTCCCTGGTCCCCATGGGAACTGCTCCCTCCCCACACTCTTCCTCCATGATGTCCTGCCTCCCCTCGGCCCAGGAGTGGGGCCACCTCCTGTGGACTGGGATTGAGCTGCTTTGGCTCCCAAGAGGAGCTCTGGCAGCTGTGGAGCGGTGTGAGGTCAGGGCTCCATAGTGAGACCTGGGGCGAAAATCCACCCACTTAGGAAGAGGCTGCCGGGGAATCGGAGCCCAACTGGGAAATCCTGATATTGTGAATTAATTGTCTCCAAATTAATAAATGCATGTCCTACAGTTCTGCTGAGATACTCAGTGTGGTTTGCTTTTGGATTGGAGCAAAAATAAAAGTTTTAAAGTTTATATGACTTAAAGACCTGTGCCCAGAGATTAAATGAGATAGGCACCAAGGGAGAGAAAGAACAACAAAGAAAAATAGCCATGTCCTCTCAACCCTGTTTCCTGTTCCCATCCCAGCTAAAAGCAGCGTTCCTCTCTCTTTTTTTTAAATTTTTCTTCCATTAAGTTTATTTTCTCAGGCATTTTGTCATAGTAACGGAAAACTGACTGACACAAATACTACAACAGCAAGTAGCACCCTTTCCTTTTTTAAAACCTTTCTTCTGAATTTATTTTCTTCTTTTTAACTTTTTAATTTATTACCTGTTTATTAACTTTGTCTCAAATGTCTTTGGGGGAGAAGGATGCCTTGATTTTGATGTAAATAAATTCATCCATGTTTCCTGGCGATTTTTACTTTGGTGGTTAGATTCAGAGATCCTCCCCGCCGCTGTGTCACATGATTTCCCCTCTCATCTGTTCCTTGGCCACTAGGCAAGTACTTTTAGGAATAAACACCTGTCCTTGGCAGGGGAGCGGGGCTTGACAGTGGGTGGGGAGGACGGCTGTTCCTTTAAGTGACTGTTAACATTCCCTTTAATTTGGCTTTGTCACAGGGTGCGGTGGCACAAGCCTGTCATCCCAGCATCTTGGGAGGCTGTAGCAGGAGGATTGCAAGGTGGGAGGTCAGCCTCAGCAATTTAGCAAGGCCCTAAGCAACTCAGTGAGACCCTGTCTCTAAATAAAATAAAATAAAAAAATTAAAAGGCCTGGGGTCGGGTCTCGGCAGTAAGCACCCAGTGGGATCAGACAACTTGATGGGACTATGGGCTGCCCAGATATTTGGCCAATATGATTTTGGGTGTTCTTGTGAGGGGTGTCTTTAGATGAGAGAGCATTGGAGGCCGAAGGCTGAGTGTAGCTCATGGTCCTCTATAAATGGGTGGGCCCAGTCTCATCCGTTGAAGGCCTGAATAGAGCAAAAAAAGACAAAGGTCCAGGGCCATTTACAGGCCACCTGAGAAGCCCCACCTTGTTGCAGGGTCACCAGCACAAGTGCTTTGATCATCATGAGGTCATACACGATGACTTCATAATGAAAAGGTCCCCTCCCCCAATTCCACGTGGCCAGAAACTAAATCACACTTGATTTTAAAAAGAAATCCAAAGAAATGTTAAATATCCACAAATTGACTATACGAAAAACTTGTGGTCCAGTAGCATCGAATGATCATTTGTTCCTTTAGTTAATTAATTAATGGGGGGGAGGGACCAGGGAGTTGCTTCTGGCCTCGTTAATCGTGGGCTGAGGCCGGCCTCCAACTTGCGATCCTCCTGCCTCAGCCTCCTGAATAACGGGGATGACCGGTGTGAGCCACACTTCCCACCTTAAGTTATTCTTTTCCTAGCTAAAGGGAGAGGGTCAACTGGTGCCTCCTGTGGCCTTGGACATGATGACTGGCAACGCCAAGAAGTTTAGCTCAGGAACGTAAGGACCCTTTAGCGTCGGAAAGTCCTCAATGCCACTCACTCTGTTCAAGACTGAAGGAGAAGAAAATAGGTGCTCAGAGGCTGAAAAGAAAGTTGATGGAATTCAGAAATAATCCATAGTCCACCTCCACAGCGGGCCAGGTATGGATGGTAAGTTTGGTTTATTTGTTGTTGTTGTTTTTTTAACCAGAAATCTGCAATAAACATCTTACCAGGGAAAAAATGTCAGAGGAATCCCCAATAACATAGGAATGTAGACAAGAGTAAGTGCTGTGCTTGGTACTTCTCCATAGCTCTGTGTGTGGGGGGGTTTGTTATGGTACTGGGGATGGAACCCTGGGTCTTGCACATACTGGGAAAATACTCTACCCCTGAGCCCCCCTTTGTGTTTGGGGACAGGGTCTCACTAACTTGTGGAGGCTGGCCTCCGACTCTCCTGGACCGATATGCACCATACCCATATGCACCAGCACAGTTGGCTGTCCCAGCAGCTAAAGGAGGCTGAGGCGGGAGGATCGCAAGTTCGAGGCCAGCCTCAGCAACTTGGCGAAACCCTCAGGAACATAGCAAGTCTCTGCCTTAAAATTAAAAAAAAATTAAAAGGACTAGAGAGGGTATCTCCGTGGTAGAGGACCCCCAGGTTCTACCCCGAATACAAAAAAATATATATAATATATATTCTAGAAAAGAACGGGAAAAAAAAGAATCATTACTTACAGGGAATAAAATCATTTATCTAGAAAAATCTGAGAGTCTAAGAAGTAAATGACTTTTCTATGGCCCCTTTTGCACAGATATAAATTAGAGATAAGAGTAGTCCGTACCTCATAGGGTTATTACAACTGATAATTAAGTTCACACACTGGAGGATGATTTCCTGCACACATGCTGAACCCTAATGAGGTATCAGATCCAAGTCCAAAAATTAATAACATACCCACAGACCAATAATAACCAACCAGAAATTGAATAAAAATTTAAATTCCATTCACAGTAGCAACCCAAACTGTGATATACCTAGAAATAAACCTAACCAGCCCGGGCACGGTGGGTGGCACAGGACTGTCATCCAGGCTTGGGAGGCTGAGGCAGGAGGATCGCAAGGTGGAGGCCAGCCTCAGCAACATCGAGGCCCTGAGCAAAACTCAGGGAGACCCTGTCTCTAAATAAAATACAAAATAGGGCTGGGGACTGGGCTCAGGTGTCGAGGGCCCCCGAGTTTAATCCCTGGTACCCCCAAAAAACAAAACAGAAAGCAAAAAAGAAACTAATCCTAGGGGTGACTCTTAGGCAGCAAGAGGCTGCTCTGGTATGAGTGGGGGTCTCCCCAAAATTCCCAGGGTGAAAACCAGTCACCAGTCTGATTGCTTGGGGGGGGGGGCGGAGCCTGTGAGAGGTGGTGGGGTGACAGCGGAAGAGTTAGTGCCCTTTTAGAGAGACCCCAGGGAGCTGCCTTGGCCTTACCACCCTGCAAGGACACTGAGGGGCACCATCTATGAGCCAGAAGGGCCTCACCAGCCCCAGGCTACCAACCCTTGACCTTGAACCTCCCAGCCTCCAGAACTGGGAGAAATAAACTCCTCTGGTTGATAAGCCACCCGCTTAGGGTAGTTTGTGACAGCATCTCTCGGCCAAAAAACAGAGGAAGGAAGCCCAAGGGTGACTTGG